AAAAAATCTTTTATTATTTTGTGTGTGTATACCATCAAATCAAATCTCACTGGTACAGAAGGAGATTGTCCCTCCTTCTCCAGCAGAGCATCTGGTGGATTCTAATTGCATGCCTCCGAGATTGCAGTGCAGTTTGTTGCCACTAGGCAACCAGAACTCCCTTGATAGCTAGGGATTTTGAAAATTTCTTCATATGTTTGTTGATTTCTTTTTTGGTGAAATGTCTATTCGTGTACCATGCCCATTTTGTGAGTGGAAAGTTTGCCTTTTACTTGTTGAAATGCTAGAGTATTCTATAATTTTTAGTAATAAGTATTTTACTGATATGTCACTACCAAATATTTTTTCTGTCTGTAGGCTTCCATTTTACCCTGTGGAAAAGTTTTCTAATTTGCACAGGGATGTGATTGTTAAGAAAATCCCATTATTTTATCCTTTCCTGGAAGTGTAATGAAAAACATGGATTAGGTTTTTCTAGATTTCATACTGGCTTTTCTCTGATGAATTTTATTTCCATTAGTTTCACTCCTAGGTCTCTGATCCACCTTGAATTGGTTTTAATGTATGATGTGAGGTGTAGGAATTGCTTTCATTTTCTGCAAATGATTTTCCAATATTGCAAGCTGTTTCTTTAAAACAAAACAACAAAAATGTATTTGAGGAACAGGAAACAGAATTGGATTGTTGTTGTGTGCAAGCTTTTTCTTAAAGAGACTATTGTTTGCCCACTTTACTGATTTCATCTCTGTGTCAAAGGTCAATTTACCATAGGTAGATGAATTGATTTCTGGATTCTTAATTCCATTCCATTGGTCTATACGTCTATCACTATATCAATACCATGCTGTTTTGATTGCTGTGGTTTCAGATCAGGGAGTATGATGCCTTGGATATTGTTTTGCTATTTTAGTACTGCTTTGTTTTGTTAGGATCTCTTTCCATTACACACAAAATTGGAAATGGAAATAGCCTTCACATTTATCTTATTGAAGAATGGAATTGGTATATATATTGGGATTGCATTCAAATTGTAGATTGCTATTGGCAGAATTGTTGTTTTCACAATATTGAATCTTCCTATCTAAAAACATGGTATAGTCTTTCAATTCTCTAAATCTTTGTTTATTGCAGTAAAATTTTGACGTTTTCTTTCATTGGTCTTTTGCATTTCTAGTTAGATTTGTAACTAAGTATTTTATCTTGTGATTAGCTATTGTAATTGGTATTATTTTTTCTTATTTCCTTTTTTATGTTCTCTTTGTTAATGTAGAGAAATCGAACGGATTTTTGTATATTGATCTTGTATCCTTCTACTTTGCTGAATTGTTTTATTATTTCCAACTGTTTTCTTCCTAAATCTTTGGTGTTTTCCTAGAATTCTATCATATCAACTTATATATAGAGATAATTTTACCTTACCTTTGTCAATTTGGATCCCTCTCATTTACTTCTCTTGCCATATGCTCTTGCTAGTTTTCCAGTGTAATATTGAATAGGAGTGGTGATATGGTCACACCTATTTGAGCATGAATGTGTAATACAAGAAATGAGAAATGAAATTAAAAAGCTTCTTGAAAGAAGTGAGGATAAAAATACAACTTATCAAAAACTCTGGGATACAGCTTGAACTTCTTCCTTCATCACCATAGGCTCTTGCTCATATGTTGTTTCATTAAATTCTTCTGTGTCTGCCAATTCCTTTCAATACAATGACTCAGTATATTCTTTCCATCTTCTTTTGATACCTCCTGGATAATTTAATATTCTTCCTAAAGCATCATAATGTCTAGCTTCTCAAATTATTTACTTGGCATCCAGACTGAATGAGTATGGAGAAGAAATAAAACCCTAACAAATTCTCTCTTAATTTTGAAACGTTAGTGTTCCCTTACTTCATTCACACAACAGCCTCTTGGTCCAGGTATAGGTCTCATATGAGCACAATTAAGTGTTCTGGAATACCTGTTATTATCAATGTTAGTCATAATTTTATATGATCAATAAACTCCTATTCTATTTATATGTATTCCCCCCCCCTATGGTTTGAAGGCAGAGATACAATACCTATCCATCAGTTTTCTGAACTGGGGCAGTGATTTCCTTATTGCTATTTATTTTACACATTCCATTTCAAGTTGAAAAACTAGAAGTTGTGAAATATGAAGTGGAATACATAAAATATGTAGCAACAGGCAAAGCAATTCCCAATTCCGGAAACTGGCTGAGATGTGTTCTATCTCTGCACACAAACTGTAGGGGGAAAAAATATATATAAACAAACATCATGGCACAGAACAATTCTTTCTTGCTCTGCTTGAGGCCTAGTGGCAGGTTCACTGAAATTAGGCCCAGCTAGTTTTTCCTTTAGGCCTTCTGGGACATCAAACCATCCTAACGTGAGTGAGCTAAATAATACCTATTGAGTGAAAATACGTAAGTAAGTTCTATGGACTAATGAGGAGATTGGTGAGTTTAACACCTAAGTAGGATTATGTTAAACTGGTTCAGTTGCAGCAAAAGGACTTTTTTACAACAACCAAAAAAGAAACAACATGGAGGGAGCTTTCGGTCCTTTTGGTTCATATATTTTCATGGTAGACCCAGATCAATATTGTGAGTGACAGGATAATATCCATACACATACAAAGAAGTCCAGTGAATACTAGTATCACTCAGATATATGCACCAACAACCGGAGCCAAAGAAGAGGAAATAGATGATTTCTAACAACTTTCACAGTCGGAAACTGATCGAACATGCAATCAAGATGCACTGATAATGATGGGTGACTGAGACTGGAATGCAAAAGTTAGGAAGAGAGAAGATTCAGTAGTTGGAAAATATGGACTCAGTGACAGAAATAGAGCTGGAGATAGAATGATAGAGTTCTGCACATTCAATGACTTATTCATTGCAAATACATTTTTAAGAGACATAAACACAGGTTATATACATGGATTTCACCTGATGGTATGCATAGGGACCAGATGGATTACATCTGTGGAAAGAACCACTGGAGAAGCTCAATATCAGCTGTGAAAACTAGGCCAGGAGCTGAATGTGGAACAGACCACCAACTACTCATATGCAAATTCAAGCTGAAACTGAGGAAAATTAAACCAAATCCAAGGCAACCAAAATATGACTTTGAGTCTATCCCACCTGAATTTCAGAACAATCTCAGGAACAGGTTTGAGGCCTTAAACACTAATGAGTGAAGACCAGATGAGTTGTGGGAGGATATCAAGGGTATCATCCAGAAAGAGTGCAAATGGTCACTGCAAAGATGAAAGAGGAAGAGAAGATCAATGTCAGAAGAAACTCTGAATATGGCACTGGGAGTGCAGAGAAGCCAAAGCAGAGGAAGAATTCAAGATAATAAAGAGCTGAACAGAATATTTCAAAAGGTAGCACAGAATGACAAAGTAAAATATTAAAATGAAATGTGCAAGGAGCTGAAGTCAGAAAATCAAAAGGGCCAAACTTGTTCAGCATTTCTTAAGCTCAAGGAACTAAAGAACAAATTCCAATCTCAAGTTGCTATAATCAAGGATGCTTTAGGTAGAATATTAAATGATCCAGGAAGTATTAAAAGAAGATGGAAAGAATATACTGAGTCAGTGTATCAAAAGGAGTTGGCAGACACAGAAGAATTTAATGAAACAACATATGAGCAAGAGCCTATGGTGATGAAGGACGAATTTCAGACTGCTTTGAAAGAAATCGCAAAAATTAAGGCCCTAGGAATAGATGGTATATTGATTGACATATTTCAGCTAATAGATGCTGCCCTGGAAGTGTGGCTTCCCCAGCATAGTGACAGCAGGGCCACAGCTGAGATCAGAGTCCAGACAGGACTAAGCACCCTCTACAAACAGAGAATTCCGCCCAGCCTCCCACTTGAGGGGACACTGTGTCTGAGCTTAGGTCTTAGTTTAAAGATTAAGCTTACCCATTGTTATGTTGGCAACACTTAAGTAAAAGGAAAATATAGTCTCTGGATACTGAATCTTTTTGAGGATGATTGGCCTAAACTAAATTAAAACTATAGGAAGACTAGGAGAGGGGCCTTTTCACAGTGCCATGTTGTGAGAGGACCTCTGTCTTAGCCTTCCCTCTTTTTCTGAACTCATTTTCCCATGTCCCTGCTTTATTTCTACATCTGGTTTGCAACATGAACATGATCACCAAGTTGTGCCAAGAAATCTGTAGAACAACCACTTGGCCAACTGATTGGAAGATCTATTTATTACCATCCTAAAGAACGGTGACCCATCAGAGGGTGGAAACTATAGAACAATATCATTGATTTTACATGCAAGCAAGATTCTACTGAAGATCATCCAAAAACGACTGGTAGAGAACAGTCAGAAGTCCGGGCGGGGTTTAGAAGGGGTCATGGTACTAGGAACATTGTAGCTAATGTTAGATGGATCTTGGCTGAAAGCAAAGAATACCAGAGGAATGTCTGTGTTTCATTGACTATGTAAAGGCATTTGACTGTGTGGATCATAACAAACCACGGCTGACTCTGAGAAGAATGGGAATCCCAGAACACTTGATCATTCTAAAGCAAAACCTATACTTGAACCAAGACACAGTCATTAGAACAGAGCAAGGAAACACTTCATGGTTCAAAATTGGGAAGGGCGTACACCAGGCATGTGTCCTGTCTCCATACCTTTTCAACCTGTATGCAGAACAGATTATCCAGGAGGCTGGGCTCTATGAGGAGAAATGTGGGGTCAGGATTGGTAGAAGATCTATCAACAATCTGCATTATGCAGATGACACAACCCTGTTTGCTGAGACTGAGGAGGACCTGAAATGCTTGCTGCAGAGGGTCAAGGACTGCA